GCTGCTCTCGAGTTCGTGATTCCAATTTTCCATCTTCTTCGGACCCAACAATCAGCCTAGATTGAATATTCGCAATCCGTTCAGCCACTCTCTTCTGCTCAATTCTCTCCTTCTCCAGAAGCTCATGTTTCTCCTGAATCTCCCTTATCAGCCTATCTTTCTCCTGTTTTATCAGTGAATCATCCTTTTGAATAGCCTCCAAGTCATCCTCCAATTTCGCTCGTTCCGAAGCATAGTAGCTCTCTCCACCTCTACTTTTCAACTTCCTCCTGCTCAGCTGCTCCTTAAGCATCTCAATTTCCTCTTGGAACTCTCTCAACAGTGCATCCTTGGGATCTTCATTAATCTTGGGCTGATTCTTGATATTCTTAGCCCGATTTGCATATCTCAAAGTCCCCAATGTCTCCTCGAAGTTATACGATGCTGGACCGATACAAGCTACCATAACGGTTTTTGAATTGCCGCCTAGACTGTCCTGGAGCAGCCGAGTCAGTTTTGAGTCCCGATATGGGATATGGGCACTTTTAGCGTCTACTAGAGCACTGATAACGTTTCCAAGGGCTGATAAGGAGAGATTGATTTTCGTGGCTTCCTTGAATCGTTCGCCAGTTGCTCCTGTCTTGGACTGCCTCTCTGAACCGGCCAAATCCACTAAGTTTAGGCGGCCCACTGTGATATGGGATTCGCCATCGGCTCCGATTCTCGAGCATTCAACGGTGATGATGAAGATGGCGTGAGAGCGAGATGAGTGCTCGTTCATGTTGGTGCGGCTGCAAAATTTTACAAAATAAAAACTTTTTTTGAGAAATATGAAACAGCAATGTTTTTTTCTTATTTTCCAATAAAAAAAACCATTAAAATTTCCTACAAACCGCACTGGAAACCAAGATTCTAGGACTGTTTTGAGTCGAGTTACGGTCATTTGAAGTGTAGGGGTGAGATACGCAGTGTGTCTCGTTTCTCTGCGTCTCTAACCCAAAAAACTTTGATAGAATAAAATTGTTGTTTCAAAATTACAGCGAACAATTTTGAAAATTGTTAATTTCAATGGGATTGTTTTAATCCATTTTTGTGAAAAAAAACACATACAATTCACATAATTATTCCGACAGAATGCTCCAAAAATCAAGATTCTAGGAGTGTTTTGAGCCAAGTTATAGTCTTTTGAAATTTCCCGTTTTCAAAATTATTCCAAAAATTAGAAAAGTTTATCTCAATGTTAGCGTTCTGGGTGTTTGTTGTTGCAAAACCTAAAAGATCGTTTTTCTCCCACACTGCTCCAAAAATCAAGATTTTATGCTCATTCTGAGCCAAGATAAACCTGTTGAAAAGTTATGAGAGACGCAGAGAAACGAGATGTCTCTCACCCCAAAAAAATTTTTGATTAGCTCGAATAACTCGGTTCGAAATTGTACTTGAATCTTGATATTAGGTGCGTTTTGTAGGTAAAATTATTGAAATCAAAACAAGCACTATGTATAGATCTATTATTGATATCAACACTATTTTCAAATTTTCGTACTAATTTTGAAACAGCAAATTTAAATAAATATTGGAACTAATAAATCACTCGAAATTCCCAACAAAACGGTACATTCAAAATTTGAAACATCAAGTTTCAATTATCACTGTTTCACTATTTAAACGAAATGCATTTTGTCCTGTTTTTCTTCTTTCATTTTCTTATGAATTATCGTCTCAAAATTTCTTCATCCAACAAGCTTTCAGAAGCTTTTTCGAATATTGAAATTTCATACTTCCTTACAAAACGCACTAAAAATCAGGGTTGCAATCTGACGGGCTGGCCGGCGGGCCGGCCCGGCCCGAGGGAAAAAAACCAGGGTCCGGCCCTGCCCGGCCGGCCGGCAATTAATTAATATTTGAACGCGCGCCATTTTTATTATCTCTCCGAGTACTACGATCCTTCAACGAACGAATCGGTTGAGGAGTATTGGAAAAGAAAAAGATTCGAATACCCCGGACTGTACTCAGCAGCACTTTTCGTTTTTTCGATTGTTCCCAGTGAAGCCATGTGTGAGACTACGTTCAGCACTGCGTCGTTTTTGTTAGATAAAACAAGAACAAGATTACTGTACAAGCGTGTGGAGATGGTCGTTCTGGGTTCGCAAATAGCCACGAAATTTCCACACTGGCTCGACTGATTCTCTCACTAATTGTAGTGATTTTTCTAGTTAATTTTATGTTACTTTTCTACCTTTTTTGTTGGATTGGTTGATATGAGCTTTAATTTTCTCCCCCGGTTTCCATTTCTTTGTTTCCCCTTGTTCATTTATACGGTTTTTACATTGTTATGCTACTTGTTAAGAAATAAATTCAAATAATTCTTCAATAATTTCTGTTTTTTCTTAAATTCGAACGGGCCGAACCGGCCGAACCGGCCGGGCCGGGCCGGAGAAAAAATAATCTCGGCCCGGCCCGGCCTGGTCGGTCGGTTGCAACCCTGCTAAAAATCAAGCTTTTATGATCATTTTGAGTCGAGTTATAGTCATTGAACGTTTTAGGGCGAAAGACGTAATATTTCATAAAAACTTCTGTTTAAAAATTACTACAAAAAAATTTGAAAAGATCATTCTCTCAGTTTAGAGTTTCGCTTCGTTTTGTGGATTAAGTTTGATTATGCGATTTACTTTGATTTTTTACACAAAATGCACTAAAAATCAAGATTCTAGGACGATTTTGAGCCGAGTTATGGTCATTTGAAGCTTTTTGAGGTTAGAGACACAGAGAAATGAGACACACTGCGTCTCTCGCCCTAAAACTTTAAATGGCCATAACTCGGCTCAAAATGGTCGTAAAAGCTTGGTTTTTAGTGCGTTTTGTTGGAAAAACTATGCGCAATTGTATGAAACATTTTTTCACAGAAAATACATTCATTGAGACAATCAATATTTTTCAATTTTTTGGGATTATTTTGAAACAGCAATTTTTAGGAAATTTTTTAAATAAAAAACACTACAAATTTCCAAGAAAAAACTCTGAAAATTACTTTCAACGACCGATTTACAACTGAGTTATGGCTATTCAAAGTTTTCGGGGGTCAGAGACGCAGAGAAACGAGACACGCTGCGTCTCTAACCCTAAAAATCAAACTCACCGTAACTTGGCTCAAAATGGTTTTAGAATTTTTGATTTTAAGTGAATTCTCTTGAAAATTACTGTTTCAAAATTACTCCAAAATTTTAGAAATCATTATTTATTTCAATTTGATTGAATCGTGTGGTTGTTGTCAAAAATTATACAATTTCACATAAATTTTGCTTTCGGGTCGTCCTAGTATTAAAACTTCAAATAGCCATAACTCGGTTCGAAATGATCGTAAAATCATAATTTTTAATGCGTTTTGTGGAAAAAAAATGTACAAATTTTAAGAATTCAAGCAACTTGTAAAATGAAAATTGTTGAAAAACGCATTGCTGTTTCAAAATTTGAATTTTTGGCCATCGAGCTCTATAAATTGATGTTGCGTTTTCCATTTTTCTAGAAAGCGAAACTTTTGAAATGAGAATTTTCCAGAATTTTCAGATTTTCAGAGATTTTTAATTTGGAAGTCATCAACTGAAAAATTTCCTCTCATCCTCTCAATCGGTCCAAGAATGAAGATTCTGCGATGATTTTGAGCAGAGTTACGATCACTTAAAGAGTTAGAGACGCAGAGAAACGAGACACACTGCGTCTCTAACCTCACAGCTTCACAAGACCGTAACTCGGCTCAAAATAGAGATAGAAACTTTATTTTTTATAAAATTTCAACAATTAAAAATTCTGGGCTTGGTTTTTCTCATGAAAACCATTCTATCCATTTTTGAAACAGTAACTTTTTAGTGCGTCCAAACTTAGTTGTATCCGGTTTTATTCAATATTTTGAATTCCTTAATTCAGAATTGGTCTAAAACAAAAAAAATAGACAAATTTACTTACAAAACGCTCCAAAAATCAACTTTCTAGCTCCATTTTGAGCCGAGTTATAGCCTTTTGAAGTTTTTTGGGGCTAGAGACGCAGAGAAACTAGACACACTGCGTCTCTAACCCGAAAACTTCAAATTGCCGTAACTCGGTTCAAAATGGTCCTAGAATCTTGATTTTAAGTGCGTTTTGTAGAACAAATGTATGAATTTTAAGAGTTCAAGCAACTTGTAAAATGAAAATTGTTGAAAAAAAACATTTTTCAACAAACAAGGTTTAGGTTGGCCTTTAAATAAGGTAGTAGAAAAACAGGACCAAACTAAATTTTTTTTCCAAATCGTGAAACAGTGAAACTTGTGAAAAAAAAATTGCTGCTTCAAAAATTTTATTTTTTTTGTCTCAATAAGTCGATTTCTTCGTTCAAACTATCAATTTTTTCCAAAAAGCGAGACTTGGGAAATGGAAAAATTTCAGAATTTTCAGGTTTTCAGAAATTTCCAATTTGGAAGTCATGGAATGAACAATAAATTGCCTCTTATTCTGTCCAAAAATGAAGATACTACGATGATTTTGAGCCGAGTTATAGCCGTTCAAAGTTGGGAGATGAAAGACGCAGAGAAACAAGAGCCCTCTCGTTTCTCTGCGTCTCTAACCCCAAAACTTTGAATGATCATAACTAGGCTCAAAAGCATCATATACTTTTGATTTTTGGTGCATTTTGTAGGAAAATTTTTTGTAATTTTTTGAAATTTCAAAATTCAGAAGTATCCAATTTTCGCTGTAGAAACCGGCAAAAAAGAAAAAACTGAAATTCTCCGATTTCAAAAAAGAAAGTTTCAAATTTGAAACAGAGAACTTTCGGAAGTTCAAGTTTTTGAAAAAATCTAAATTCTAGGATTACTGTAACTCACCCCACAGAACGATGAGCGTTTCCACGAACCATAACCTCTTGAATTTCAGCAACGGATCTTGTTAACTTTGACTGAAATTCTTAGAAACTTAAAAAAGTTCGGATTACTGTACTTACCGTCAAATCTTTGACATACACTCCACCATCCGGACGCTCTTTGATTTCCAGCTTTTTAGAGGATTCAGCTTCTAGAAGATCTCGAAGTTCTTCCTGAAAAATTTGGAAAGTTTGAAAATTCTAAAATTTTAAAATTCTAAAATTCTAAAATTCTAAAATTCTAAAACTCTAAAATTCTAAAATTCTAAAATTCTAAAATTCTAAAATTCCAGAAAATTCTAAAATTCTAAAATTCTAAAATTCTAAAATTCTAAAATTCTAAAATTCCAGAAAATTCTAAAATTCTAAAATTCTAAAATTCTAAAATTCTAAAATTCTGAAATTCTAAAATTCTAAAATTCTAAAATTCTAAAATTCTAAAATTCTAAAATTCCAGAAAATTCTAAAATTCCAGAAAATTCCAGAAAATTCTAAAATTCTAAAATTCTAAAATTCCAGAAAATTCTAAAATTCTAAAATTCTAAAATTCTAAAATTCTAAAATTCTAAAATTCTAAAATTCCAGAAAATTCTAAAATTCTAAAATTCTAAAATTCTAAAATTCTGAAATTCTAAAATTCTAAAATTCTAAAATTCTAAAATTCTAAAATTCTAAAATTCCAGAAAATTCTAAAATTCCAGAAAATTCCAGAAAATTCTAAAATTCTAAAATTCTAAAATTCTAAAATTCTAAAATTCTAAAATTCCAAAAAATTCTAAAATTCTAAAATTCTAAAATTCTAAGAATTC